CCCTATGGAAGTCAATTTCTTAAAGTCAGATTCAGAAGTCTGCTTAGTTTCTGTCTTGACCCTAGAGCAGAAGGCAGCAGATTTGGAGAGGTTACAACACTTCCCAGTGTAGAAAGCAGGAGAGAGAAGAGAGGTAAGAGCTATCACATAACTGAAGACAAACAAACAAACAACAACAACAACAATAGGAATTATTTTCATCAAAGTTATAGGGGATATAACTTTTGAGATGTTTGAGAAATTTATATTTTTAAAAAGTACCATTCTATGTGTATACCTTAATGAATTTTATCAAATGCATTCACTCCTATAATTACCACCATCCGCAAATAGCCTCTAATACCCATAGTCAATTTCCTTTCCCCATCTCCCATGAGCACTGATCTGTTATCAATCACTATAAAAGTTTTTCTTTTTCTAGAATTTCACATGAATTGAGGCATACAGTATGTACTCTTCAACGTCAACCTCTTTTGTTAACACATTTTTGAAAGTGATACATGTTATTGCATGTCAGGGGCTTATTACTCTTGATTGCTGAATATAATCTCATTTTATTAATGCATCAATAATTCTTATCTATCCACTTATTGGCAAATATTGGTATGTGTTTCCAGATTTTGTCTGTTAAAAATACAGTTTCTTATAAGCATTGTATACATGTTTTGGTGGACAGATGATTTTGTTTTTCTTGGATAAATACCTAGAATTGCTGGTTTGCATGGTAGAAGTACACTTAACTTCATAAGAAATTTCTACACATTTTCCCAAAGTGATTATGCCATTTTTCCCTGTCCCTTTTTAAAAAATACTATCCACACTATAAAGTCTTATGGGATAAATAAAAGTTCATGGTCAATTGATTTGTTTTTCTCTTGAAGGAAAGACTCTGGGATTCAACCATGGAACTAGGCTGGCAATGAAAAATAGATATGGCAAAGTTCACATATCCTCCACAACTAGGCATGGAAGTCAACTGGAACAGTCTTGGTCATAAAAGACTTTCCATCACTGAAGAAGGTTATCTTCCTGTCACTATAAAAAAAAAATCATCTTAAAGTAGGATTTAATTCGGTTCATGGTTTCAGAGGTTTAAGTTCATGGTAACTTGGACTTGTCACTTTAGGCCTTTGGTAAAGCAGAACATCATGACAGGGAGCACATGGTGGACCACAGCTGTTCAAATCTTGGAAACCAGGAAGCAAAGAGAGAAAGGGACAAAGTGGCTTGGATCCAAATGTATTTTCTAAGGGCATGGCACCAGTGACCTACATTCCTTAACTAGGACCCATCTCCTAAAATTTCTGCCATTTTCCAATAGCTCTAAATGCTGGGGACCAAGCCTTCAATACATGAGCCTTTAGTGGACATTCCAGCCATAACAATTATCAAGTGGGAAGTAGGCAGTGTAATTTTTTTTTAGAGAGAATGTATTTTTTTATATTTTATTTTATTTTAGTTTTTGGTGGACATAACATCTTTATTTTATTTTTATGTGGTGCTGAGGATCGAAACCAGCGTCCCGCGCATGCCAGGTGAGTGTGTTACTGCTTTAGCCACATCCCCAGCCTGGCAGTGTAATTTTTGAACACAAAAATTACAAAGGAAATAAGTGAATTTTTTGAGTTTCTCAATTTTGGTAGAAATTTCTTTTTCTCAACCACCACTACCCTAACTCATTGCAAACTTCCATCAGAGCCCCCCTATATTTGTTATTTTATCTACAAGTGTCAGATTCCATGCTGTTTTCCCCAAGAAGGAAATAGTTCTTGCTGCACTCTATCCAGTTTGTCCTCATAAATATGTGGGGTCATGCTACTGATCCAATGAGGTGTTTCCTTTTCTCCATTTTCATTTGCCTTGCTCACAGACAAGTATTGAAACACAAAGCTTGGGAAACAAAGCATTGGTAATAGCTCTGATGTGGGTTCACTTTTTTTTTTTATACCAGGGATTGAACCCAGGAGCACTTAACCCCTGAACCACATCTTCAGCCCTTTTTTATATTTTATTTAGAAACAGAGTCTCACTGAGTTGCTTAGGGCCTTGTTAAATTGCTGAGGCTGGCTTTGAACTCGTGATCCTCCTACCTTAGCCTCCCAAACCATTGGGATTACATAATCACAGATCTGGGGTTTCACCTCTTTAAAATCTATTGTACAGCTGGCTCACAAACTGACATGGTTCTTGGCAGCATCCTCCCTGAAGTACTCAATCCAGATGTCTAGAAATTAGTTCATTCTCTCAAGGGATCTGTGTTCCACATAAGGAAGACTATTCCTAACATTTGGTTATTACTTGTCACCACCAAAGAAGTTATTAGGAGAAATGGCAGGATTTCAGCTCCAGTTCTATTCAAAAGCAGAAGAAAGACATAAAAACCTCTTTAGGTCTGTGGTCACTGTTGTAGGTCAGCAGAGTGAAGAGTGGGTACAGGTTGCTGGCATGTCCAGGCTCTAGCAGCTGTTTGCCAGGTGAGAACTAGTGAAGGGTGGATACAAAGAATTCAGATTTCCAAATCAATTAGATATGATTAAATCCCATCCGGAGAGTTGAATAAGTTCCTTAGCCTCAGGAAGCCTTAGCTCCTTCATCTCTAACATATAAACAATAACAGCTCATTTTCTACAAGTGAGTTGTGAGAATTAACAGACACACATGAAATATTTAATATATTGCCTAACAATAAATAACCCTCCACCCCTTGTTCTATTTATGTCTCAATTACCTAAAATAGGAAAAAGGTGACTTAACTATATGAGGGCTAACATTTCTAGGTCTAATACACCATGCCTCAAAATTAAAAGAATTTTTTTATCCTTCAGTTCAAGGTGAGACCTTGTAATAGTAGTAGTACTAATAGTTACAGTGGTAACAATAACACTAAAAGATTTCAATTAACAAATGCTTGCAATGTTGTAATATATGCAAGGGCACTAAAAAGAGTATTAGACATAAACAAACATCAGGTTCAGGTGGTGAAGTGTTGTGTTAGACAGAAGGGCAGCAAGGAGCTTTGACCTCTTGGAAATGATGTAGAAAAGAAGGAAAAAGGGGAAGTATCAGGCTAATGAACTATATACATGGAGGAAAGAAGAGAGTTGGGAACTCATTTAGATCTTAAGGAGATAACAAAGCTTCAACTTAAGAGTTAGAGCCCAGATATTCCTGTTAGACTCCCATTGTACTGTTCATCCTAACATTTAAATAATGCGAACATAGATTTCCTTAAAGATGTAAAGTTCCCTGGAGATGATTATTTCTTGGAGAATTTGCATGTAACTCCAGGTAGAATTCAACTGCTCAGTGAGTCCCTCAGGGATCAGGGCAGCAGCAGCACAGAACAAGAGAAGCCTCCTCAACTTCAATTAAAATCTAGTGTTAAACTGTGCAGTTAAGTGAAAGTGACTTTTGGGTCTAACTAGAGCAGGGAGGGGTGCTCAGAGGAAAAGGAGGGTTGAAAGCCAGACCACAGAAAGTTCTTGGAAACTTTAATTAAAATATACATAAGAGAATCAACATTATTGAGCAGCAATGCACTTACTTTCAAAGCACTCAATCTACTGAGATAGCTACATAAACAATTCACTACAACATAAGGTACAATATGGTCTTTCCATCTAATATTACCCATTTAATTAACCTTTATCTTTTACTGCCTGCCTCCCTACTCTAGAATCTTAAGGTCTAAGAGCACAATGGGTTGTTTCTGTTCACTGCTAGGACTCTCTGTGATGAGAATACTGCCTGATATGTGTCAGGCACTTAGTACTAGATTTATTTGTTCAGATCTGAGATTTAGAGATTTGTAAGATCATATTTGAGTTACAGCTGAGTCCAAGGGGGCTATGAAAACACAATGAGAATAAGACTTTATAAGAATCAGAGATTTTTTTGAAGGAGAACCACTTCATAAAGTCACTTGAACTAGACCTGGATAATAAGACTTATTATTTTGCAGATCCGAACACGGAGGAAGACACTTACAGCTAACAGGAAATGGGCCTGGATCTAAAATATCCAAGTCTAGTTTCTTTTCCTAATGTTAGAATCCTGTCATGCACAGATATGGCAAGTAAATTCAAGGGCACAAAGGAAGCAAGTTTGAAAGTGTATGATCTTCTCAAGGAAATGAGGAGTATTTTAGTGACCAGAAGAGAAGACTATGTATATGTTTCATGGGAGATGGGAAGAAAAAATAAAAGTTGGTGGTGCAGTCAACTGAGGGGCAATTTCTTTTTTGCTGTACTGGAGATTGAACCCAAGAGTGTTCTGCAACTGAGCTACATCTTCATTCCTTTTTATTTTTTGAGACAGGGTCTCTCTAAATTTCCCAGGCTGGTCTTGAAGTTGCCATCCTCCTGCCTCAGCCTCACGGGATTATAGGCATGTACCACCAAGCCCAACCTGAGGGAAGATTTGTGAAGAGATCAGTGGGGCCTGGAAGAACAGAGGGTTGTAGATAAACAGAAAAGAAGGGGAGGAAGTGGCCTGTGTACAGAGGAATGAAAAGCTAGTTAAGAGTTTTACAAATTGTGGTAGAGATTGTATTAGGTATAGAGATAAATAAGACCAGGGCTTCTTTATGGAAAGTCTCAAAAGGTCAGGCTGTAAAACTTAGAAGAATGTTGATTAGTAATGGGGAGAGACATTCAAGATTCTTGAGCTTAAATGATATGATGAAAGAAATGAATTCCCAATTGACATTTCTCAAATTTATGATGTCCAAGATATTTTAAATTTTTACTTTGCTTCCAACATATACCATAATGTTTGTATAAAGTTTATATCATAAAGACCTTTGTATGCATATATTACATTAATGTATTAAGCTAAGTGAATTATATTTACTATAATTTGCTAAGAAAATGTTTTCTTTAGTCAAAATAATATGAGGTTTGAAAATGGTCACATATTAATTAGAACTGGAAGATTCTTTTACTAATTGATGATTATTAGTAAGTCAGATGGTAGAAGAAATAAAATATATAATCATTGTATAAAGTTCCAGAAACACTTTATTTAAAAATGGAATTGTAAATGCTTAACAAAATAACATAAGTAATAAATGTAACAAAAATAAATAAGGAGAATAATGTATTCATACAAAATAAAAATAACATAGTAAAAGGCCAAATGTTTATAATTGAACAAAACTGTGTAAACAAACAATAACGTAAGTAGAGTAAATGCTAAATTTTCTAACTCCTTACCTTCTACTTCCATGTGGATATGATCAGTACCCAAACATTAAACAAAAGAGGGAGCAATGATGATTATTTTGTTCAACTTTTTTTTCAAATGGACTGACCCTGTTTGAACATTTTATTTATTCCTTTAGTGCATTTTTATCTTTCCTTTTATGTACTTTAAAACCTTTTTTAGTCTTCCTTTATTAGATACAATGGGAAATCAGCTTTACAAGGAGTTCTTTACCTTTTGTTTGTTTAAAGAAAAACATGAAATCCAGTATACAACAGAATTGTTTTTACAACTCTACAAAAAGACTCTGCCTTTTTATTACTTGATCCAATAGTACAGGATTTTTTAAATCCTATAAAGTTCTGAAGTACACAGTTACTTTGCTTCTTTAAATAAGGTAGAACAGGTTATTGCTGAAATTAAAATTAAAGACTATTTCACAAAAGTTACAGTTTAACCTTTAGGGGCTGCTGGAATCAAGGGGGAAATCCTGGTCTAAAAATATTTAACTAAGATTCACCCAAATTATAGTGTTCTGGAAACACAAAGATAATTACTTAATTTTTAAAGTCACCCAAATGTGAACTTACTGGAAGGAAAGGAAAAAAAAAAAAAAAAGAGTTTATCGAAGATATTTTTCATAGGCTTTCTGTTTAGTAGCATAAGCCAAAAGCCTTTGTCATTGTTGTCTTTCAGGGTCTTCATAAATGTGTTTTAAGACTGAGACAGGATTTACTATTGGGTCCTACAGGGAAACACACAGAAGCAATTCACTGCTTGGGAGTGAAACTATCAACTAATCTTACAACTACTGGTTCTCCAAGTTTCCTAATGAAGAAAATTTTAACTTCATGATTATTTCAGGGGGAATTTTTTTCAACTGTCACATATAAACTTGGTAGCACAGGACCGATATACATGTTCTTAGTTTTAAAAATATACTCCACCTAAACTATCTGTCTAGTTTAATCTTTCTAGTTATCATTTAATCTAAAATGAGAGACAAAATCTTATTTCCATTTAAAAAATTGAAAAAAAGTGCCAAATTGATCTTTTTGAAAGTGGAGTAAAACACTGTGGGGTTAAAACAAATACAGTATTATCAATTTCCTATGTACAAAAAAGACGGTTAGTCCTTATTGATATAGATATGTCCACCTACCACTCCCAGTAAATCTTAGTGCAAACATAATGGTTAATCTCCATAAACCCCAAGACAAGTTATGTAGCAACAAAGTTATATAAATCACATCTATGCTGGAAAATTTTAGGACACAGAATGACTGTTGTAAAAGGTCTGCTTTACTGTGGAGAACAATGTCATTGTGTCCAATGGTAATGAGTACTAATATAAACCTAACATTAAGAAGCAAATAGAATGTTTAACAAATCTGTACAGATGAAGAAGAAGTCCATTTCAGGGAGCAGCTTGGCACAGGAGACAGGGGGATATTTAGTCTGCTTGTAGGTCACAGCATGGCTTAAAAAAAAAAACAAAGATCTATGAAGGGAAAGGATGCAATAATTCAATTTGAAAATCATAAAACCACAAAAGGTAAATCTGCCACAATCTGCTTTTCCCTATATGTGCATCAAGTGGTTATCTAAATGGTTTGAAAGCACTACTATGACGCTTCATTTTAGGTAAAAAAAATAAATAAAATTAAGAAGACAGGGATGACAAGATTGTAGTTGACCAAATTGTCTTGTTTTGTATGTCAATACTATGCTGCTTCCAATAATTCCTAGACATTCCACAGGTAATTGTTTTAACAATCAAGAGAAAGTCATTCATGTACTGTAATATCTTCCTCTTCCCCATCAGGGTTGAACCTATTGAAATGTATACTGAAATCAGCCTCAGATTCGGCATTCTCAAATTCAGCTGAGACTGAGGCAGCAGCAGGAAGAAGAACCCTAGCTTCTGGCTGGCAAAGTGTTGGTGTCTGACCCGGGCTGCTGTGGTTATTCACAGGACTGGATTTCTGTTTTGGCGGAGATGGCAAGATAGCACTAGGAAATCCCAAGTTGTTGAGAGCTTCCAAAGTTCCATCTGGGTCAATCATAGTATTGATTGCTGAAGGAAAAAAAAATAAAAAAGAAAGTAAAAAACGTAGAGGGAAGAAGATATAATTGTAGATGCAGTTAAATTTGAATAGTTAACTTTTTTATGATCTGGGTAATATTTCAATTATTGGTGTGTATATGATCTTAATTGTCACTAATCTTTCCAATACCATTACTATATTTAAATCTCTACTCTTTTTAATTCTGTGGCTAATCTATATTGTAGATTATACAGACATGAGTGTTTTTTGTGGAAAATCACTTGGGCATTTCAGAAACTGTTACATAACTGCTATTTGTAGATGCAGAATTCAAGAAGACCTTTCTGAAATTTGCTTTTATTATTGTGAGAAGATAGTGAAAGTATTGGTTATGGGTTTTAATAAACACCTGAGCCCAATTTAGCACTCAGAAAATTGAGTATGTAGCTAAGATGGGATTCAGAGTCACTTCAAGGCTGTCAAGGCCAGAAGAATATCAGCATTTTTGAGTGCTACCAGAACATGTTGTTATTTACACTGTCTGCCTGCCAGGATTATCAGCTGTGTATAAGTTTTCTCTCAGAGAAGGCAAAGCATTTTCTTAGGGGCTAGATACTAATACCCAGCAGGGCAAACAGACCTTGGTAATGCTACAGAAGGGACCAAAGATCTTTGGGTAGTCAAAGGCAGTTCCCAAACAGTGATTTTCAACTTGACGTCAAGCTGAGTAAGGAGTTGGGAGAAGCAAGCATCATATAAGTATCTCTTAGAAGCCTATTCAAAAATTTATTAATCTACTTTGTGAAACTGTACAATTTACGGGGTTTTATATCATAATACTTAGATGTGATGGACCTGAATAAAGGTTAAGAACCTCTTAGGTAGGTCTAACATATTATGCCCATCATAGTCAGTCAGTAAAGACTGAGTAGAAATAGCAGAAGGCCCTAGAACTTTCTTGTTGTACCACTGGGGACTTCTAGGTCAAGACAAGTATTAATGAATGATCTAGATCTGACATGAGTAAGAATATCTCTGTCAAAGTTCAAGAGGCAAACAGAGTCTCTTTCATTTTCTTTTTTCCTTCTTCTTCTAGTTCCTGTAGCCAATATGCATTCATATCTCACGGTTCATCTATGCAAATTTTATCTGCATTAAAACATAAGTTCATTTGAAGTTATGCCAACAATTGTCAAATAATTCTAATTATCAATAAGCATTTTCAGCTGTATTTACACATTTTAAATATGTACCTAGAATATAACATCTAGCCTATTTTCACATCTAAGCACTAATATATGCTTAAGATTTAACTTTACTAAATTTTTAACCTTTTTTTTTTTTTGATACCAGGGATTGAACCCAGGAATGCTGTATACTGAGCTATACCTCCAACCCTTTTTATTTTTAAATTTTAAGACAGGGTCCTGCTAAGTTGCTAAGGTTTACCTTGAAATTGTGACTCTCTTGCCTCAGCCTCCTGAGTCACTGGGATTACAATGCACCCAGTTATTTTTAACTTTTTCATCAAGTTTTAAAGTTTCCTTTTTATGGGTAATTTGAATATGTAGAATGCTATATTTTTACATGTGTCATAAAACTTAATCAAACGTTGTCATAATGATAAAAATATTTTAAGAAGTATCTCTTACAATGCACTTATTCTTAGCTATTAGCACTTTATATCTAATTCAGTAGTAAATTTACCTTGTAACTGCTTTTCAACTCTTTTCAGCTCCTGTAAAATAGAAGAAATCTCCTGCAAGGAAAGCAATAACAAGAATCAGCTTATTTTAAATAAAACATTTTCAAATGACAAGCAATGAGTTTCACTCATTTTATTTGAAACTCTAAATATCATTTACATGATACAACTTAGTAACAACATGATATGAAATAATTATGACACCCAGTAAACAAAATCCAAATTTAGAATCTTTAAAAGCAAAATTGAGTAATTTTTTTCAATGCAATAATGATAGAAGATAAAAAGTTCAAGGTAATTTACCATTATAGAAACAAAGATTTTGACAAAATTTGTATTGATTGGCTTTATAATAACTCTATAATAAGTGTCTAAGAGTTTTCTTTGGAAAAAATATATATAAAAACTGCAGCTTTAATATTAGAATTCTACTCTGTAGTAGAAATCTATACAAATTATTTTAAAAGGAGGCAAGCAATGAATTAAGTAAATGAAAATAACTCACATCAACTTAATGTTTGTACTTATTTTAAAATTGCTATTTTTAATGTATAATTATTAAAAAGAACAAGATTCGTTAATAGTGAAAAAACATTCCTCCCTCTGGCCCTCTGTACTTTTGAAATTATCAACCTATTATTTTAAATTCTTTTGTGCTAGTCCGATAAAGGAAAAAGATTTTTTCAAATTTGTACATTTATATCTTCTTTTTCAAATATAAACTAACAAATAACTCAAAAATAGGTATATTATCTTTCCTTAAAATAAAACTCTATTACTGAAATGTCTTAATCTTAAGAAAAATTGCCATACCATGCTTGAGGTTTTCACAATAGGGACCTCACTTTCAGCTCTTAATTTGCTTTCTATTTCATCCCAGTTCCGATCTTTGTCTTTAAATAATATTCTAAAAATAAAAAAGGAATAAGCATTTTACTTTCATATTTTAAAAACCTAACATGTTTTCATTATAATGACAATTCCAAAAACAATATATCTTTTCAAAGCTACACAGGAGGGTAAAAACCTGCCTGAACTAAGAATTAAATACTAAGCCAATAGGACCAATTAATTAACACATATGAAAAACTTGTATTAAAAATGAAACTAGATAGTATCAATACATGAATAAACTCTTCAATATTCATCTCATTCTTTTTTTGAAAACCAAATATAGAACAAATGTAGATTTGACATAACCCCCAAAATTTAACTAATATTTATAATTAACAACATAACTGTTACTAGCTGGATGGGGTGGCATGTGCCTAAAATCCCAACTACTAGGGAGGCCAAGCCAGAAGGATCAGGAGTTTGGACACGGTCTGGGTAACAGTGGGAATCTGTCTCAAAACAAAAATGAAATAAAATAATGCAAAACAAAAAGGATGGATGCTTACAATGAACATACAAGTTTGTTCTGATAGAATATATACAGTATTAAGTAAAGTAAGAGTAAGGTGAAAATAGGCTGAATGAGGTATGAACAATTGTGTTAAAACCTCTATATAGGAGCAGACAACTTTATTGGTGGAGCAAAGTGTAAACATTATTTTACAGATTGAAAACTGAAGAACTTACTATGTTTATTTTTGTACATCTTAAGTCATGTTACTTTTTTTTTTTTTTTTTTTTTTTTGGCGCCAGGGATTGAACCCAGGGGTGCTTAACAACTGAGTCACATCCCCAGCCCATTTTATATTTTATTTTGAGACAAGGTCTTGCTAAGTTGCTTACAGCCTCACTAAGTTGTTCAGGCTGGCTTTGAACTTGCAATCTTCCTGCCTTGGACTCCTGAACCACTAGGATTACAGGCATGTACCACTGTACTCAGCTAATGTTACTGTATTTACATATAATCTATTAGATTTAAGAAACTTTTTTTTTTTTTGTAGATGGGCACAACACAATGCCTTTATTTTTTTTTTTAATGTGGTGCTGAGAATCAAACTCAGGTCCTGCCCGTGCTAGGCGAGCGCTCTACCGCTGAGCCACAATCCCAGCCCAAGATTTAAGAAACTTTTAAACTTTTATCTTTTTAATAAAAAAAATACTATTTTAGAGATAAATATCCTATACTGGAAACTAAATTTAAATAATTTATAAAGTACCACCAAATTTTGATTTGTCTTTCAAACCTGGCATTTACCTTTATATTCAATATTTTATCATCTATGAGACATGATTCAGCAGCTTTAGAAAAATGTAAATACTAACCACCATTTTTAATTTTTTAAAAAATTTCTTCAATGAGTCACTCTGGAAATGTAGCTTAACTGCCTTATGTAAAAATCAACACTGTACAACATTAAGAAAGTAAGTTTTTACTATTGGTAGCTAATTAATATTTAAATAGTAAATTAATGTCCATTGGTATTTCTTCAAAGGTCAATATGCCATGCAGTTCATTAATATACATTCAAATCTGGAACATTTACAATTACGCATAACCATACTTAATAATATAATGATGGGTCTGGAATCTGGTATAAGTATACTCTTCTGATCTATTATCAAATTTTGTAAACTCAAAAGACTAACCATCCTCGCCAGTCATATTTTTACGAACTGTTGGGCTAATGACTGTGATATTAAGGAATAAGCAAAGTATTGTGTTCTTTTGAGAGTCCTTGTAGCACTAGTACTGGGAATTAGGAAAATAACTTGTACAACTGGAAAAGTCTACATTTAGCCAGACAGTGCTAAGAATTCATAGAAGTTCTAAAATTATTAAACCACAGACATTTTACTTTGACGAAAATGGCTTAGAATACTTAAATAAGTTTCCTGATTCACCAAGAAACAAAACAAAATAAAACAAAAAAGCCAAAACTCTTAAAGGGATAAAAAGCTTATTTTAAAGGATAATTTGTAAATATGGTACAGACTTAAGAAGCCAAACCTATCATTCTGGCTTTAAGAAATGAATTCTAGCCCTTTCTACCAGAAGACTACCGCGGGAGGTCAAGCCCAGCGACCCAGATCCACCAACATCGGCCTCTGCAGGGTCCAGGTGCACAGCATGCCTGGTCCACCCTTTTCCCGGCAGGGCAGACACTCGCCAGAGCCCAGCCTCTGGTGCAGGACCACCCATTCTGACCAGTGGACTACCATGGGAGCCAAGATCAGCCCAGACCGCCCACACCAGCCCACACAGGTTCTAGGCTCTCAGTAGGCCCAGCTCACCCCTTCTCGGGCAGGGCAGACACCTGCAAGAGCCTAGTCTTTGGTGCAGGACGGTCCCTTCTGACAAGCAGACTGCTGCAGAGGTCAAGCTCAGGGCCCCTGATCCATCCACACCCACCTGTGCTGGACCCAGGAGCACAGCAGCCCAATCCACCCCTCCCCAGGCGGGACAGACACTCACCAGAGCATAGCCTCTGGTGCAGGACTGCCCTTTCCGACCAGCAGACTGCCATGGGAGGTCAAGCCAGTGACCCAAATCCACCCACTCCATCTTATGCAGGTCCCAGATCCAGGATGCAGTAGCATCCATTGAGGGACACCAACAAGGTCTGGAAGCCCAACAGCAAGTTGAGGTACAGACAATCTGCATGGGTACTACAAGAATATAGAAAAGAAACTGTAATATCTCAGATCCACATGGCAAGAAAGGAAACCACATAGACAACATGAAAAAACAAGGGAGGAAAGTGCCCCGAACAAACCAGGACACTATAATAACAGAATCCATGGACAGTGAAGTTGATGAAATATCAAAGAAGGAGTTCCAGAAGGTTCATAATTAAAATAATCTGTGAATTAAAGGATGACCTAAATGAACAAATACAGGCAAAAATTTATCACTCCAACGAAGAGATAAGAGAAAATACAGGTAGTAAAAGATTACTTCCAGACTAGATCACTTGGAAGAAAGAACGTCAGAAAATGAAGACAAAGTATACAACCTGAAAAATAAAGTTGATCACACAGTGAAGATAGTAAGAAACCATGAACAGAACAACCAAAAATTATGGAACAGCATCAAAAGACCAAATCTAAGAGTTATTGGGATAGAGGAAGGCACAGAGTTTCAAACCAAAGGAATGCACAATCTCTTCAATGAGATAATATCAGAAAATTTCCCAAGCATGAGAAACGAATTGGAAAACCAAATACAAGGAGGCTTATGGGACACCAAATGTACAAAATTACCACAGATCTCCACCAAGGCACATTAGAATGAAAATGCCTAGCATACAGAATGAGGATAGAATCTTAAAAGCCGTAAGAGAGAGGACAGATCACACATGGGGGAGACCAATTTGTACCTCAAAAGATTTTTCAACCCAGACCCTCAAAGCCAGGAGATCATGGAACAACATATACCGAGCTCTGAAAGAAAATGGATGCCAACCAAGAATCTTATATCCAGAAAAACTAAGATTTAGATTTGATGATGAAATAAAAAACCTTCCAGGATAAACAAAAGTTAAAAGATTTTTACAACCAGAATGCCTGCACTACAGAACATCCTCAGCAAAATATTTTAAGATGAAATGAAAATGCATTCTGCTGTCATATATAAATTAAGAAAAGAAATGAATTCTAATACAATGTTATATTTAAATACTAAGGAGACAGAAAAGCATATCAAGAAATTACTTTAGACCAGGCTATGATGGTCAGAATTGTTTTTGTTCAAAAATCAATATGCATCTTCAAGAAAAAAACCATAGTTTTCAAAGTCCTTTTCAGATTGTCATTACAGATTAAAAGTAGGCTAAACTTCATCAGGAAAACATAATAAATTCCAAAGATTATTTTATTCAATAATTTAATTACTAAGCTAAAAGTACTTTTTGATAAAGTCTTGGTGTGGGGGAGTCTTAGACTCATATTCTAAGTCCTCTATAACCTATTTTCTAGCATTGTCTCTCAATACATGGAAACTGGTATTGCAAAGTGACAGTCTACCAATGCAGGGCCATGTTTTATAACTTGAGTGGGTCACTTCATATGGAATACAATAAGAATGCTGCAAAACAGGAGTTCTCACATAAATACTTTTAAATTGAATCCACAGGAAGTATTCAAATAATTTAAATATGCATTTCTTTAGACTGACCTCAGTAGGTATTTGAGTTTATATGTTTTGGCACAAAGCTTAAAGATCAGGCATTCCTTAAGGTACCCATGCAGAAGGCTTACATCTCTATTCTTTAGATTTGGTTATCAAAAATCATGCCCATCTTTGAATATTATCTATTCTACAAAATCTTCCCTGATCATCCCAGGTGAAAGTGATCCTTCCTTTTCTTTTTATTCTATCATATGCTGTCTTGTATAACAATGTTACATGTGTAATTATATATGTGCTTTACCTTATCACTTGATTATAAATTTCATAAGTCAAAATGGTGTTTTATTCTCTTTATTATCTTATTCCACAAAGTCTGTCAAAGTGTTTTACACATAGTAAAACTCAATACTCAAACTGAAGGTAACTCAAATATATGGAACATTCAATATTCAAATGTAATGTTGTTGAGGCATTTTTTCCCAAACTGTCAAATTTCTAAGAAAGTAAAATCAATAGCCAACCAATAAATCAATGTGCTCTTTGTTCAATTTTAATTAAATGCCAAAGCTACATAAATCATTTTTCTTAGGGGGAGATTAGAGATGAGTTCAGAGCAGAATGAGAAACACACACTGTGGTAAAAAACAATCAACAAGAGAATGGTAGTAAGAAGTCCATAAAAATCTGGAAACTGAGTAAGTGGATAAGGATACAGTTATTAGAGTGATTATTTCTTGTAGTTGGAATGAAATAACATGGTATATTCATTTACATGCAAAATGTTTTACAGTAGCAAGTCACACACCACACTTTTAATAAGACTCTTATGATATTTTTATGGATAACAATGTATCAAAAGCAATCATTTAATATATTAACTTTCTATTGCTTTCTTCTTTTTATGATAAAGGACAAAGTCCTTCACAAAATTTGCCTAAATTGATACATCCTAATCTCTACATTGTCATCTCATAATCCCGAGCCTGTCACTACACTTTTTACCTAACTCCTCTCCCCATTCTTCAGGACTTAAATTGCCCACCAATCTCTCCTAGATCCCAGAACTCGCTATGGGATCTCACAGTATCTTATCCTGTAATTTCCTTTCTATTCTTACCACATTGCATTATAATTGCCCATCTGCCTGCCTTCTGCACTCAATTGTGAGGGCATTTTGAAGAGTGCTGGACAAAAATATCCACTTAAAAACAACTTTATCAATGAATAAATTTGGAGACTATTCCTATGTAAGATTTTTATTTTTATTTTCTTTTTCAGTGCTGGGGACTGAACTTGGGCTAGTCAAGTACTTGTACATGGCAAAGTAAGTATTCTACCACTGAGTTATACTTCCAGCCCAATTTCTATATACGATTATTTAATCAATATTTAGTTTATTTATTTGTCCCTTAGTTAATAATCTTGCCATGATATACCAATTTTACAATATAATTTTAGTGGAATAAAATTCAAAATCATAACCTTCAATTAAACTGAATACTTTACTCAACCTGAGGTTTGATTCTTGGTACTAATAAGCACGCATGTGATTAGGACCTGGAGATTTGTTAATTCATGTGTAATAATTAATTAGCTAAGTTTAATTTTTTTCCTTTCAAATTCCAGTTGGGCTCACCCAAGGGAATAGTAAACTACATCTGACTCTGGCCACACACTGGATGAGTACATCACAGATGGGTGGGCTATGATAGTAAAGAAAAGCTCTTCTTTTTTTGTGTGTGTGAAAGAAAATGGGCTGATGTGACTATTAAGGGAAAACAAACCTCATCTAAGATGGCATTAGTCTTAACTGCTTAATCAGTGTGTATAAGTAAAAACAAAAACAAAGGAATCATTTATAAACTCAATCGGACTTCACAAAATGCATTATTTCTAAATAGCATGCAATTAATCTCTGAATTATGAGCCGTAACTTTTAAAAAATGAAATAGGATTTCAATTTACTAAAGTAAAATTAGTATTGTTATTTATATTTTTATTATCTCTTCTATGTAACTACTAATGATTTTAATATTAGGAAAAAGGAAAAGAAGGTGACTGGACTTCTGTGGGAACACAATTGTGATAAGTGAACTACAAATAATATTCACGTGAAATAATGAAACTAAGACAAACCAGGTAGCAGAAACAGCTAACTTAACCCAGGTTGACTCATTTAAATATATTATCTAGAATGTAAACTCTACAACAGCAGGGGTTTTTGTTTTGTTAATGTCTAATTATAAAGTACCTAGAATGTACTTTACAACTATCTGTTACTGAATGGATATTAAATTATTATTCTGTGGAAAGTTAACTTTATTTGAAACTCATAGGAATATGTCACAATTGACAAAGAGTAAATTTTCTTGAAAAAAGAACAATGGATGGCAAAATAAGGATATAGTTATTAAAATAATTTTAAAGACCACTTATGTTTATGAGGAACAACTTAAGAAAAGCCAAATAATCAAATGCTTTTTTTTTTTAACTATAAAGGTAGTATGTCTCATATTCCAACCCAATTTGGAGAGACTATCAATATACTTCAGTGATACTCTCGAAAAAATATTGATTGAAAAGACAAAAATATGGAAAAAATATATTTGTGTACTAACATATATAAACATATACAGGTAAAAGACATTATATGTATATTTTTTCTGAAATATTTGTATGTTTTTAAAAAAAATTTAATTGCAGGTGGACATAATATCTTTATTTTATTTATTTTTATGTAGTGCTAAGAATCGAATCCAGCACCTCACACATGCTAGGCGTACTGAGCCACAATCCAGCCCCTAAAATATTTGTATTTTTAAACCATGCTCTTATATTACTTCTGTTAAGATACTCATTTACAAATAAAGAGGAAAAAAGAACCAGACAGTACAGATTAGACCATTCTTGTGAATATAACAAATTTTTGATTATTTTTCTTCTAGAAGACAACAAAGTGAAGAGATGATCTGGTACATTTTTAAGAAATTATACAGACAAGAACTCAAGATATAAAAGAAAATGCCACGCATGGTGGCACACGCCTATAATTTCAGCATCTCAGAAGGCTGAGGCAGGAGGATAACAAGTGCAAAGCCAGCCTAGGCAAAAGCAAGGTGCTAATAAGCAACTCACTGAGAACCTGTCTCTAAATAAATACAAAAATGGGGCTGAGGATGTGGCTCAGTGGTCAAGTGCTCCTGAGTTCAATCCTAGGTAGCCCCCCTGCCCCAAATATGAAAGAAAGCTCAATCCAGTTCTTAACATGCCAAGTAAAATTTCTACATTTGACTGAAAAATGATGTAAACTTTTTATAGTAAACATTTTTAATTTTTTTTTTAAAATACATTAAACACATTTTATATGATACTTTTGAAATAGTTTTTGAAAAAATATCTTAAGTTTCTTTTAAACTAGGTAATTTACCTTAAAATTCAATAAAAATAATGTTCACTGTTTTTCCCAAATACTTATTGGTATTTATCAAACACTGATGAAATGTTTTATTTTAATATACAAGCCACATAAAATTATATTTGTGTGGGATTTATAATTAACAAATAACTTTAAGAAATAGTTTCATTATATTTAAAACTTTTAATTATATGAATTAGAAACAAATTAAGCTACAGTGTCAATGATTTCTGAAGTATTATTACACAGAATCTAGAATTCTCTGTTTTGAATAGGTAATGAAGTTATAAAATAACAATATTTGATAGGTATTTTCTTTGGGGCAAAGTTTTCCCAAGATGAACACATTCATTCCAAAGATGGGAAATTTGAATTTAAGAAAAAGCAATGAAGAGTAAAAACAGTGATATTACAGTTAAAAAAAATAAATATACTATGTATGTATGTTCATGTATGAGACTTGTATCTTCTTCTCCTTACAACAACTCTATGAGTAGTCAATAAAAGTATACATATTCCTCTGTTCCTCCCATGCTCTCCCTCCCTACCCTACTATGAGTCAGCCTCCTTATATCAGAAAAAGCATTCAACATTTGTTTTTTGGGGATTGGCTAACTTCACTTAGCATTGTCTTCTCCAATGGCCATTCATTTACCTGCAAATGTCATGATTTTATTCTCTTCTATTGCTGAGTAAAATAGATGAATTCTAGATAGGGCAGAGGGGTGGGAGGGAAGGGGAGGGGGCAGGGGATTAGCAAGGATGGTGGAATGTGATAGACATCATCATCCAAAGTACATGTATGAAGACACAAATTGGTGTCAACATACTTTATGTACAACCAGAGATATGAAAAAGTGTGCTGTACACATGTAATAAGAATTATAATGCATTCTGCTGTCATTATTTCTTTTTAAAAAATCAATAAAAAAAGTATACCTATTCCTCTACAAGATGGTAAAACTAGGGCCATATTAAACAAAGGGAGTATTCAAGTTCTTAGTAAGTGGCAAAGCTGAAATATCCTCAAGTGTTGTGCCTGTTAGACTAGTCTTGTCTTGTGTCTTTATTATATACATTTCCTAAGTCAAATAATGTCCCTTTTACCAATGAGGAAAATGAAACTAAAGTCTGAGGCCTTTAAAAGAACCCTCAAAAGTCTGTTAATTTAAATTATTTGCTATTATTTTTGTAGAAAAGGAAAATGTTTCTGGTTATTAATACAAGTTATTAATTACAAGTCAGTGATTACAGTTGTTAATTCTCAATTATAAAGGGGCTGAATATCAAAAGCATTTGTTAGCTATGGTTATTACTTATATTTTCAAACTAAAGAAGATAGTAAAGGCAGCAGGGAGATTCAGTTCCAATGACTTTATTAATTCTTCATAGCTGTGATATCAGGCTCAAAAAAATGGAAGAAGTAACTGTTATGGAAAGGAGGTTCCGGTAACCACAAGTACCTGATTTTTCCAGCTGTTTTATCTATAGATTGTCTTATCTTTTTAGAGAACTGAAAGACAGATGACAGCAGCAGATTATCTCCCATGACCTGAAACAGACAAAGAAAAAAAGTAGATATTAAAATACTACCACTGAATTGTACAACTACTAAGAACACTAGTCACAACTTAATATACAGGTATGTAGTATTTATGCTAATTTCAATGAAAAAATAAGGAAGAACGCAATTAGAGTAATATATAAGGAAATAAAGAAAATGAAACACTATTAATAAAGGAGTTTCTTTTGTCAAGTTTCCATATTGTTTTGGTCATACCATTTTGAAGAAAAAAATTCTAATTTAGCCTATCTTTAATTACTGTCATGACTCTCATACTCCATTCAAACTATCATAAGAGGGAAGATATGAATAACATAGAGCACACTAAATGTATTATTTATTCTTTCACCAAGTAATATGAAAACAAAGATCAAGAAGAGCACAAACCCTCCTCTCTAAACAGAATATAATGGGAAAGACAAACTTTTCAAAATTTACTCAAAATATTAAGTTTTTGTGATGGGGTCAGTACTACCCCAGTTGAGATACAGAGGTTTGACAAACCTCTGTAAGTGCACAGGAAAGATTTTAAGGACCATATGGTTTCTACCAAAACTCAGCTTTCTTCTTGCAAAGTGAAAGAACATTCACAAAAGATATAAAAACATGAATAATGCTGTGTTGTAATAAAACATTATTTAAAAAACAGATGACAGGCCAAATTTGGTCTAAGAGCTGTAGTTTGCCAAGCAATGGGATAACTCATGAAAGCAAAGCTAGTACAGTTCACTAAAAGGACTGAATTTGAGTCTAGATGTTCCAAAATCAGCCTCTTTATATTGACAGACCTATATCAATACTTCGTCAGAAAATTCGATATGGTCTTGGATGTCAATATGCTTGGAAGACCTGTGAGAGGTAGGGATAATAGTCATATATAGGAAATATTATTAAATATTTTACAAAAAGCATGTAAATATATGCTAAATTTTGTGATGTAGTGCTGTAAGAATTCCAATGAAAATGAGTTTAGTGAGGGTGACATAAGTAGGATGTGGTCATGGAAAAATTAGAACTTACAAATGACAAGAATGTGAAGCCAGTGAAGGATAAAGTTTCTTAGGGTGTGAAAAGCAACATAAAGGCAAGGAGGATAAATAGGAATAAGATGTGTGGGTAATGAGGAAGTAAGCCAAATTAAAGTGGAAGACATACACAAATAAGGAAGGACTGACAAAAGGCAGGGTAGTCTAAGGAAAGATTATACACAGAAGAGGATCTCTCTCTTTTCTACCCCATAAATTGCAGTTCACTATATTAAACAAATTTCTGACAATAACCTTGAGATATTTTCTAGATATCTCCATCCTCTTTTACAAATAAAGATTTCTTGCACATTATTTTATTACACTTAGAGGAATTTAAATGATTTTCCTGCCTCAGTCCCCTGGGTAGCTGGGACTTCAGGCATGTGTCATTGAACTAATAATATGTTCATTTTAAAAACTAATAATTTAAAAATTTTTATAAACACTGGTCTGCAGGTTCACAGAATTAACCATGAATCAATATTCATGACACACATCACTGGTCCACTTGGGCAACTTTTTCTATCCTTTTAGTAATCTAATGACTCTACCACTCCTCCAAATAACTAGGATCTACCAATAATCAATAAAGAGTAGATAGTATTCAAAATATGTTCACTCCTCCACTGTTTCCACCACCACTGGAGGAAGATATTTCTGTACCCTCAGACTTTGACCTTAACCATGTGACATGCTTTGGCCAATGAGATGTTCAGAGATATGACATAAGCAAAGGTTTGAAATATGCTTGCACGTTAGGGCTTCCTCTCTAATGGTACCATAACAAGAAAAAGCCCCAGTAAGCCTACTGGCCCAAGTACTACAAAAGATATATGGAATGCTAAAAGTTAGCCAATCTTAAAAAACCAAATGCTGAATGTTTTCTCTGATATAAGGAGGCTGATTCATAGTGGGATAGGGAGAGGGAACATGGGAGGAATAGACAAACTCTAGATAGGGCAGAGGGGTTGGAGGAGAAGGGAGGGGGCATGGGGTTAGAAATGATGGTGGAATGTGATGGACATTATTATCCAAAGTACATGTAGGAAGATACAGATTGGTGTGAATATACTTTGAATACAGCTAGAGATATGAAAAATTGTGCTCTATACATATAATAAGAATTATAATCCATTCTGCTGTCATATGTATAAAAAAATACATGAAGCAAATCTAGATGCAACTTGCAACTTTTAATTGTACTGCTAAGCCCACTATTAACTCTGGGTTAACCTCTCTGCCACAGAAACTTTTTCAGTTGTCTGTTATGCAGTAAGGCTGACTGATATATCTACTTCAATTTAGATGTCTCCAAATTGAAGTAGATATATCAGTCCCATCTCTCTGTCTTCCTGTTAAGGTAAACAATATCATGAATTCCATTTATCATTCTCTATCTTTCCTTTTTATGATATTTGTTGGATCTATTTATGTTCAAGGCATATATTTTTCATTTTATAAATATATGACAAAGATAGCAACAAATAATAAATGACAAAGACATGTTTAATTAGTAGAACTAAGTTATTTTCACCTATACCAGGACAGAGTTTATCTTCTTCATCTATTCCTAATTCAGTATGTTAATTCTAGGTGAAGAGAATAAACAAGGAAATGCATTTTTAAAAAACAGTTTAAAACTATGTAACAAAGCAAGAGTTAAAAATAAAATATGAAAATGATATGATCATAAAACCTTAACATTTATTTATTGTTAACAGAATGATCACATATTATACAGACTAGAGATGTATCTTGTCATCATGCATTGAAACTGTTGTCATTTTAACTTAAAGTTTATTTATGTAGAATTTTGGCAGTATGTCCTAAGTCATAGGTAGGACTGTAGATAGTAAGATCACAGATTTATGATTATCTAGATTTAGTGTTCTGTTTGTTATGTTTACCATTTACTCAATTAGTTGCTCTTCTGTGTATCAGTTCCTTCATGTGTGAGTGTAATGGAGCATTTTCATAAAGTGTTTATTCTAAATGATATTAAACAAATGTCGTAAGCATTAGAAAAGGCAGCATGTGGGCTGGGGTTGTGGCTCAGTGGTAGAGTGCTTGCCTAGCATGTGCAAGGCACTGGGTTCGATCCTCAGCACCACATAAAAATAAATTTAAAAAAATGTCTACCAACAACTAAAAAAAAATTTAAAAAAATAAAAGGCAGCATGTGATTTATATTAAATACTGAAGTTCCAACATTATTTATATTGTTTATTAGTGTGTAATACTGTGTAATTAGTAAACTTTTCAGAGGCAGAGTTTGGTTTCTTTTCAGATGAATAGTTGTGGCCTGTTATCACTGGGAAGTACATTCTTTTTACGGTTTGAAATTAATACTGGAGTACTAACTGTACAAATAGATTTAAAAAAATAAAAATTGCATGCTAACAAAAATATATGACAAAGAATCACATTATATATAACCTTTGGAGACTTAGTTTTTTCACTTATATTGCTAAAATTCAAACATATCACTGCACATTTCTATAGTTTGTTTTTATTACAACTGTTCAAATTGTAAACATATCAGTTTACATATTTTTTTGCCAAGATAAACACTTTGATTCCAAGTTTTTGTTATTAGCAACATGATAATAACAATAGTAGTAGCAAAAGTAGTCCCCCATTATCTGTGATTTTGAATTCATGGTTCTAGGTACCTGTGGTCAACCATAGTCTGAAAATGTTACACTGAAAAATCCAGAAATAAACCATTCATAAAATTTAAACTGTGCACTGTCCTGATTAGCATAATGAAATTTCCTGTCATTCTGTTCTATTCCACTTGGAACATGAATCATCACTTTATCCAGTTTATTCATGCTACATACACTCCTGCCCCCAAGTCACTTAGTAGCCATGGATTATAAGATCATCTGCTGATGTTCCAATGCATGTAGAACCTTACACAGTAACCTAACGCTAGGTCACAATGTTTATGTTATTAACCTTACTTTTTCTTATCACATTGACATTGTATCATCTGATATCACAAGAAGGATGAGGAAAGTACAATAAAGTATTTTGAGAGGCATCATGTTAAATAAACTTTATTACAGAATATTATTATAATAGCTCTATTTTATTATTATTATATTAATCTCTTACTATACCTAATTTATAAATCAAACTTAATCATAAGTTGGGCTGGGGCTGTAGCTCAATGGCAAAACACTTGCCTAGCATGTGTGAGGCGTAGGGTTCAATCCTCAGCACCACATAAAAAAATAAATAAAATAAAGGCATGCTGTCCATCTACAACTATTAAAAAAAACCTTTACCATACACATACACACACACACACACACACACACACACACACGTACATATAGGAAAAATTAATATTTATAAAAGGGTTCAGCACCATCGAGTTTCAGATTTCCACTGGGGGTCTTAGAACTTATCAAACCATGGATAAGAGAAGAATCTACTGAATAAATATGTTTGTGTGTGCCTTGTTTGGTCAATGGAAAAAAGTTTTCCTTACATACATAGTAACAGGAAAACTGCAAGATCATGCTACATCTTTATGTTCAAATGCAGGAAATAAGTTAACTATTTTCCAGAATGACTGCATTGATTTAACCTCCACCAGCAACATGTAAGGCAGTCCATGTAGCCACATTCTCTTTCAATACTTAACACTTTAAGAGTTTTTAATTTGTTACTGATTATTTATACTCTCACTATTGTCTCAAAATACCATTTCTGTGAATACCCATGAAGTTAAACATATCCTTCCTATTTTCTATGTCTTTGTATTTTCTCTTTGTACAATGTTTGCTCATATCTTTTGTTTTTGTTTTTTCATTTTGTTTTGTTTTTTGTTACCAGAAACTGAACCCAGGAGCACTTAACCACTGAGCCACAGCCCCAGTTCTTTTTTTTTTTTTTAGAGACAGGGTCTTGCTGAGTTGCTTAGGGCCTCACTAAGTTGCTGAATGCTGGCTTTGAACTCACAATCCTCTTGCCTCAGCCTTCTGAGCTGCTGAGGAAATAGAGATGTGCCACCATGCCCGGCTGTTCATATCTTTTGAAGATATTCATTCTATTGAGTTGATTTTGTGTTTTCTATTGATCCGTAGGAATTCTTTATATATTCTGTATATTCATCTTTTGTATTATATGTGCTACACAAGTTTGTAACTTGTCTTCTTATGTTCCTTGAAGTATCTTTAAATACGTAAAAGTCCTTATTTTTTTTTTGGGGGGGGGGGGGCGTGCTGGGGAATGAACCCAGGGCCTCATGCTTCCCAGCCCCAAAGTCCTTAGTTTTAGTATACTAAAATTTATCAATCTTTTGAAGTCAAACTTTTTGTGTCTTTTAAGAAATCAACCCTTATATAATGTTCAACGTTAGTTTAACCCATATTTTTACTAAGAGGTGTTATAGTTTTGCTTTTGCCATTCAAGAACTTATTTCACTTAGAGTTAATTATTTGGATATAAAGTGATGTTGGGATGAAATTTCATTCTATCAGAATAACCAATTTTTCCTCAGCCCTATGAATTAGTTTCCCCTTTTCCCACTTACAGGGCTTGCCTCCTCTGCCATATGTCAATGTCTACAGTTCACTTACTTCATCCCTGCTCCAGGTTCTCCGTCTTGTAATTGTTAGATGATCAGGAGGCTCTGTTGTTTGAGGTCTTGGATCACCAGATCGACCATTGTTTCCTTCTGGTGTTTTAGAATGAACTAATGGAGGGATCTTTCGGAAGTTGAGACTTTCATCAAAAACACGATCAACCAACTAACAGAACAAAAGCAAACCCTTATGAGAACAGAATAAATTAGAAAAGCATAGACACTGCATAAATTTTATGATTATAAGTTATTCCATTCTCAAGTAGTAACAGAAGCATGTCATCTTCAATAAACCAATTACTTTTAAAGTAAGCACTTAAAAGTATTTTTTATGAAATAGATGTTCATCTACATAGATTTTATTTTCAGAATCTAAAATATATAACTATGCTAAAATCAATTAGTCTATGAATAAAATTTCTCCAAATGAAAAATAGATCCTAAATAGAAAAAAACTCAGCTATGTAGATGGACAATGAGTTCATTTTACTCATATTGCCTTACCAGTATAAAATAATGTTTCTTTTTCTTTTAGTTTTCTGTTTTTTTCCTTCCCAAATCCAAGTGACAAATTTCTTCATAAGATATATAAATTGCAAATTTCAATTAAATTTACAAGAGAAAAAAATTTAAATCCACATAAATATTTTAATCTTAGTCAGATAAACTTTTAACAATGCTATAGAAATTATACCTTCTAGTAAGAATAATATACTGCCAATGATATACTACAGTGCAAATTACAGACATTCAATACTACCTAATTTGGGTTTACTGAAGAGGAAATAAACTCTAGTACAATATTCTGAAATAAAACAAAAAGGAAAAATGAAAGTCTATTTAATGAAATGTTTGAGTAATTCTACAGAGTTTGAGTGAATGTATAATCATGTTAGGTAAAATTTAGTTATAAAGCTGAAAAAATAATATTATCATTATAAATGTACCAGCGAAATGTGTATGTCTTGCCACCAAGAAGATCTTTCTGTTTTACACCAATAAGGATGATTTCATATATAGTTACAATTTAAAATTGATCAATGTGGTAACAAAACTCTACACAGATTGATGAAATATCATTTATTAAATCAGACAACATATAAAGGAAAAACAAATGAAAAGTGACCATTAAAGAACTAAAAAGAAACATAACAAAAAGCAACTGAGGAAAATATCAGCTCAGATAATCAGAATTAAATTTGTCAAAAAGGTTAGCCATTTTTGGCTACTATTCAGAACATTATATTATAAAATTTAAAAAGTGGAGTCATTAGTATTGGGGGTTGGCAAATTTTTTCTGTAAGGAGACAGATAATAAATATTTCAGGTTTTGCAGTCTACTGTAGCACAGAAATAGCCATACACAACAGTTAAACAAATGAGTGTGTCTACACTGTGAAAAAATTTTGCAGAAACGGAAAGGTGAATTTCATATAATTTTAAAGTTATTAGTTATTATATTCCTTTAATATTTTTCAACAACTTAAAAACATAAAAAAGTTCAGTTTTTAGATCATATAAAAACAGTCAGGAATTTCCTGTCAATAGTTTACCAACCCCTGAACTGCACAAATCATTCTTTTAAATGCTGATCCTTTGCTTGCATTTCTGCTCTCTATTAAAATAGCCAACATGGCCAGAGAATATAGTCAACCTTACATATCCAGGAATCTCATCGGTTAAATACTGAAAGTATTCTTTAAAAAGCAAAACAAACAACAACAACAAGAACCCTGTAGTTGTAAACTTTCCCTTGTCATTACTCTGAAAACAATCCAGTTTAACAATGACTTATGTAACATTCACATTGTATTAGGTATTATAACTAATCAAGAAGTGAATCAAAGTACACAAAAGGATGCGCATAGGTTATATGAAAACACTATACCATTTTACATAAGGGACAGACTTTCATATGTACAGTGGGAAAGAAGTGAAGATCCTGGAATCAATTCCCCACTGATACTGAGGGACAAGAGACAATAGTACTATTAATTTTATAAATTAAAGTCACCTTCTGGAACATGTTGTGCAAAATGATGTCCTCTGGTTTGTGTTGCCAGAGGTCCTGATTTTTTTTTGTACAGGCAATAGTCTACATACGTTAACTTAAATTTCAGAGTTCATAAGAATACTTTGAAAATCTATACATATACATACATACACATACACACACACACACACACACCACATACACATACGTATATAGTGTGTGTATGTATACATAATATACATCTTTGTTTTTTAAAATATCCCTGTGTATATAACTGTGTATGAATTCATTAACATAATTATCACTTAAAGCAGTAAAAACTGTAGTGTTTTTATCTTTTTTTTTTTTTTTTTTTTTTGCTATTAGAGATAGTAACTCATTAACTAGCAGTCAAAACAAGCATTTATCATATCAAATTTTGGTTTGCTTTTCAGACACCATTTAGATTCACATTTCATGTAAAGCTACGGAGCAGAAATTTGCAGGCAAAGTTCTTATTCTAAATTATTTTCCACCTCCATCTTAATAGTAGACCAAATGTTAACCTTTACTGTTTTGTTACAAACACATAAAAGAAATTTGTTAAAGCAAAGTTGGAAAATGCAGAGCTTCATGCAAACAGGAAGGGTGGACATATCACACCCCCCCCCCCACAAAAAAAAAAAAAAAAAAAAAAAAACTAAGCAAAAAGCTAAAAGCAAAAGAAATAAAGAAAAGAAAGAACCTTATGCATTTCTCCATGAAGATCTCCTACCTCTTCTCTAGTGTCTATGGCAGAGCCAGGGGTGGTGGCAGCAGTGCTTACTGTGGTACTAGGGGCAGTGCCTGATGAAGTCACTGAATCTATCTCTCCTGCTACATCGTTGATCTCCCGAGCAATGAGAGCAAGATCTTGGCTGATCCTGGTAGTAAGTTTAGAAAAGAAATTTAATTCCTTTTAAAGAGAAGCTCTAGAAACAATAATTCATGATAGAATCAGTTATATAAGTTGCATATTTAATTAAAGATTTGTACCCCAACTTAAGATTCTTTGTAAAGGCAACAAAATATTTTGATATCAAAAATCTTAGACTTTAAAAGCTGGCATTTACAAAACTTAATTCCAAATAATTTATAAGACATCATCTTGAAAAATATATTTTAAGCACCCTGAATGGAGATATGTCTTTAAGTATACACTGTTCACGAAAATAACCAGCATTAGTATATCATGGGGTTCTTAAACTTGGAGATGATAGAGTTCAAGGAGTCTAAACTTTCATGAGAAGAAACAATTACAACATTACTTTCTCTAACATCTAACTGATGCTTGGCATTTCTTTCAAATATAGGCAACAATAAAATGATATTAACAACATTGGTGATTTTTGTTAATCAACAGAAAGCATATTAGAGTTGCTATAGGTATTTCAAAACATCATTTATGTTCATAATTTCTTCAAAATTACTAGTCATTAAATTCACAACAACACTCTTTATTAAAAAGAACCATATGCTACCATATTACTTCAAAATAATTTGATAACTGTATTTCAATATAATTGAAATTCTTTTTATAAATATTGTATATTTATACATTCAGAACACTCTGACACAGCTCCATAAACTTTACCAGCTGTCTTCTGAAGATCACAAAGTTCTTATAAGGTAAAACTTATCTGATTTTATTAATGAGGACACATTCTCAAGAGAAGCTGAATGACTTGCTCATGACCATACAACTCAAGGCACGATCAGATCTCAGGTTTAGTACTCATATCCATAAAGCCACTTGTGTTTTTGACCATATGGACTGATGAATTAAGTAATTGTTACTAGTGATAATCAAAAGAGAAAATAGACATTTTTCACTTAGCCTTTGTTCTTCAACAGAGAGGAACACAACAACCTATCATTTATAGTTCCACATGTCTCAAGAAAGATGTATTTTCATTTCACTGAGACATGCAATTTTCCCATGTTGTGCATCTGTTGCACACAAAACTCAACTTGGTTACTTCCATAGGGAAGGTTTCAGAATGATAGAATATTCTTAAAAGTTGATGTGAAAGTTTCAACAACTTCAGAATCCAAAATAAGTATAAAATAACATTTTTAAAATTTGAATAATTTGAGTTTGAGAGACTTTTAAGGGATGCAGTAAGAGCATAAAAAAGTTTTAAAAAGAGATGCTTAGTTGAAGCTTATGGACCAATTGAAACAATTTATGGTGAATTAATATATAAGCCTTATAAGAAATGAAAGATGGTTAATTTTTCTCTTATTTACCAATGTAAAAAGGTAGGAAAAACAAACAAATATTTATCAACCCCTTATTATTTGCCAGGCATTGTGTAAGTTCCTAAGGGCTACAATGGTGAAGAAGCAGACAGGGGTTCCTCATGGAGCTTAGAATAGATAGTGAGCACCATTATTATCAGTACATTATAAATAAGCTTTACATTTATTAACTCATTTAATTCTCACAATCCACCTATAAAAGAAGTCCTAATCACTTGCTTTAGAGATAAGAAAACAAAGCTTAGAAGTCGTGTGATCATTTTTAGGTTAAAGTCACAAAAAGAGGCATAACTAGATCTTTCCATTTTGTGATACTATATCTCACATTACTGTTCTGAATATATTTTTTTCAAAAGATTATGTTGATGTGCTTATTTTGAAAACAAGTTTAAAGTGTTCTGTTAGATAATAAGGTTATCTGCATCTCAACTGGGAAAATAAGAATGTGAAAGACTTCAAACCCAAAACTTTGAGCACCAACATGGAAAATGCTATACTTGACCTAATATGACAGGTCATAGTAAAAAGACAGGCATATTAAAAATACTGTATAAAATTACCTTTAGGATACAAGGTATAGACATAAACGAATCTTGAGTTTATATTTGGGTCCCATGCCCAAGATATCCACCATTTACACACAAATATTCTAAGAACCTAAAAAGCTAAAAATGTGAAATACTTCTAGTCCCAAGCATACTGTGTAGGGGATAATCAACCTGCATAGTCAATTCTTTCCTGAAATAAATGAACTAAGATGAGAAACAGAATAACCAAATTTAATGACAATTTTTAAAAGACAAGCAACAGTTTATCTGAAATTTCATTTTTTCTTTGAACTTTCTTTCTGCGGCATTTGTACAATAAAGCTTCTGATATTTGTGGAAAGCAATATGAATTAATTAGAAAAATATCAACAACAGCCATGTCCACATTATGTAGTAAAACATGTATCAAAATGGGCAGTTCTTCATGTAAAAATAACATACATTGTTCAGGCAATAAGCATTCAAAGTATTCATTTGCTGGTATATTATATATGTGTGTGTGTATGTGTGTGTGTTTGTGTATATATATATACATACATATATTCTTTGCATGAAAATTGCTTACAGTTGACTCAGTAATATATACCATAAAATTTAAGTTAACCTCAAATTAATTGCTTAAAAATTTCAGAGTATATTAAAACCAGTATAGGGAATTTTAAAAGGCAAATAAAATTATTAGGAGAAAACAAAAGTTATGGCCATCCTCCAAACAGAAACAGAAGATTTATCATTCAATCTAGGGTATGGATACATCTATCCCCATGTGGTTGCTAAGTCTAAGCTTTCAAATTAATTTTATAATGCTCCTTAGGTTACACTTATTGAAATATCTTATCATATATTTCTTTACATCTCTTGTATCTGTGCCCTAATTTAAAAACTAAGCCTACAAGCCCTTCTTCTACACTTATTCTCCCTCCCTTTCAAATCTGCTAAAGGAAGAAATTCTTTTTTTTTTATTGGTTGTTCAAAACATTACAAAGCTCTTGACATATCATATTTCATACATTAGATTCAAGTGGGTTATGAACTCCCATTTTTACCCCAAATACAGATTGCAAAATCACACTGGTTACACATCCACATTTTTACATGATGCCATATTTCTAAAAAAATAAAATAAAAAACAAACATTTTATTTGAGGTTTTATAATCTATCTGCTTCCTTTACGATATTAATAGCTATTTAAGCCTACCAATTATAAAAATACAATTCAAATTTAAGTCCATTTTCCTTATTACAAATTTTGAACCAGCACAAGTCTCAAACAAAATGTAAATTAAGTGATAAAGATCTTTAATTCAAACCTAATACTTCTTGAGAGCCAGAACTACTGAACCAATTTTTTTAATTCTGTAAAAATAAGTATGCATTATTTGTAAAAGAAGAAAAGAGAGAAAAAAGTTTGAGATAAGATAGATGTATTTGAAGTCATGAAGTTTATTATTTTCTTATCTCAGTAATATCACTTTTCTTACTTAAACCAGGTAAAGGCTATTTTCCACTAAAGGTTTGTATGCTGGAAAAAATATTAATTATAGACACTAGGTATGTTGGAAGTGCAAATGAAATATTAAAAATTTCAAATTTCAAACATGTGAAAACTATTTAAAAATTTTTTTAAATTGAATTAGAATTTTTAAAAACTCCTAATGCAATGTATCCCTAAATAAATATACAATTTTTGCCAAGTGTGACCTAACAAATACTATAAAAACAAACTGTCAGGGGCTGGGGTTGTGGTTCAGTGATAGAGAGCTTGCTTTGCACGTGTGAGGCACTGGATTCGATCCTCAGCACCACATAAAAATAAATAAACAAAATAAAGATATTGTGTCCATCTACAACTAAGAAAAAAATTTTAAAAAACTGTCAGATTTTGATTTGAGATGCCAATATAAAATTTTAGGTTTTCAATTAACTATAAACATTTTCTTTATTGCTTTAATGGCATATTAAGTTCCAAACTTTCTGGCTATAACCAGTGTTCCAGTATTTGGCCTGTTTTAAAATTAAAACTGGGTACTAGAGATTGAACCCAGGCTCTTACACATGCTAGGCAAGTGCTGTACCAATGAGCTATATCCCTATCTCTTGGCCTATTTTATTATCAATAATATTGTTCAATTTTACAACTTTCAATAAAATAAAACTCTTATAAAGACTCCAAAAAATACAAAGAAAAAAAGACTAAGGTCAGGATATATATCAATTTGAAATAAACCATGTACTATATAACAGGCCACATCATGAGTCTCTTGAAATTTAAAAAGAAGAGGAGATAGAAAGGAAAAAACTTCGTTCTCTTCTTGAATGGTTTTATAAGTATCCTTTAAGGAACTTAAAAGACATAATAAAAGATTTTAAGAAAATATTCTCTTTCTTCCTTCCTTTTTTTTTTGGCACCGGGGATTGAACCCAGGGTCGATTAACCAATGAGTCACCCAGCCCTTTTTATATTTTTTAATTTTATTTTTATATTTTTTTATTTTGAGACAGGGTCTCACTAAATTGATATGGGCCTTGCTAAGTTGCTGAGGCTGGCTTTGAACCTGTGATCCTCCTGCCTCAGCCTCCTGAGCTGTCGGGATTTACAGGCATTTGACACCAAGCCTCGCAAAAGTATTCTGAAAAAATCAGATTTGATAATACAAATATAATTAAAAGAGCTTCAAGAAAATTAATGCACATCTCTTTAATTCATCTATAGGTATCCAATGCTTTTTAATTGCCCAGATACCAAGTTCTATTAATTTTTTCTTCACTGTGTTTCCTTATCTATTTTTCCAAAAAGTGCTTGTCATCTTTCCCCATGTTGTCAATTGCCTGTGAATCTATGAGTGCAACACTCTTCTGTAAAAAGCAAAGCCTAGTTGAATATTTTATAAATTGTAAGAACTTAAAATTGATTCTGAAACTCCAGGTATATGTGGATTCTCATAAATTTATGAGATGACCAGAAAACTTAAAGCTCAAAATAAAGATCTAAATATGATCATATATTACTGTTTTCTCTATATCCCCCTTTACATATAACTAACATTTATTCATAGTTTACTATATGTCAAAC